CGTCTACATCATGTTTAAATGACTTCATTTTTATATTATTTAATATTATTTTGATATCATAATTGATATATATTCATACTTGATATATTCTAATTATTTTTCTATCTTCATTTTTCAAAAACTCTATGTGTGTGTGTGTATACAATTTGACATTTTGTTATTATTAAATATACAAATTACAATGACAAGAAGATATTTATTAATTTTGACAAGTTTACATCTTGAAAATTGCGTTACAAGTTAAAAATATTATATGTATTTGAAAATTAGCGGGAATAGCATAAACATGGCGGACCAATCAGGAGATTATTTCACATGTCCAGTCTCTCTTATAAGATGCGTTCGAGGAGCTCACTATTAGCGCTATTCAGCGCTACCGTGTCATTCTATCTTTGTTGTATATCCAAGGAACAATAAAGATAGAAGAACGTGGAAGCGTTAGTAGCGTGCTCCCCGAACGCATCCATAGTGTCTTTTCACACAATATACATACATCGCCCTTTATATGAAAGAAAAGTAATCTATAGGGGTGGGAAATTCAAAATATATATATAGTAGAATAATTTACAAAATTTTACTTTATTTCATCAGTTTCGAGACATTTGGAAATCTCTTGAATCCGACTTTTTGATTGCCGTCTTTTTTGACCGTCTAATTTTTTAATTGCGATAGTTTTCCAGTTAATAAATATATTAACATAATTAATGTGTCAACTCACTTAGGTATTTCCCTATCATTCTCTCATTCTCTGAATCGTTACTTCATCTTTCGAATTTTTATTTCCAGTACAAAACTGCACGATCGTCAGAACTCAAGCAGATTCTGGAGAAAGCACGCCGACGAGCGGAGGAGTTAAATGACAAGGATGAAGTTAAACAGTGAATCGCCGTTCTTCGTATACCACGTGCGAATGTGGAATGTCGCGAATTATTCAATTAAGCAATATGCGCGATTACACGATGACCGTGAATTTAAGAGAAAAGATACCCCACGGAAGGTAGAATAAAATACATGGTATTCTTTCTTAAATTATTCATAGAAAATTGCCAGAACGAGAAATACCGTTCAACTATTTTATTTTACCTTGCACTTTGTGATAATATCATTTACTGCGAATTGAAGCAATACGCATGCCAAAGAATTTTAGCAAGCCAGAGAGCATGCCCTAAGAATTACCTGTGATTTTTCTTTTTTTCCTTTTTGTTTGAAAATGCGAGCAATATTATCTATATTATCTACTGCATTTTAACGAACTTACTCATAGATAGGTAGTTTCTCGGTACGCTACTCGAGTCGAGGACTCTATTAAAGCATTTAATTTGATATAAATTGTACATATAGAATACAACTACTAGAATCGCCTTAGTAGTCGACGGAAATGTATGATATAATATTAGAGAAAAAAAAAGAGAATACGGCATTCGTATTATGAGTTAAGTTTGATTATCGCGCTAAGAAAGTATGCTGTCAGACGGTACTGATATTAGAAATCGGTAATTAAAAAGAAAACGTATGTAATCTACGTTTGTATGACGTAATAGTAGTCGAAAGTTTCTATTATAACCGCAAAATAAATCGTCAATATAACAGAAACGACTCGCTCTCGGATTTATTCATTTTACAGATTCCTACACTCTATCTTCTACGCAATGACAAATCGCAGAGTATCGAAAGCCGTATAAGATCGAAGATCTATCTGTGTACCATCCGAGGATGATATACGAAAAAAAGATCACAGATTGTGTTGTTATAGACGTCACGTTATATTTATTTAAAGCGATTACATCCAGTATAACAGACATAAATAGGATACTCTAGCTGTGTCATCAATTATATTAATAAACTATACATTCTTTCCGAATACTCGACACGAAGTCACATAACGTGAACACATTGATTAATCATAGTATGCTATTTTGTCATCGAGCCCTCGCGCATATTATGCTATACTCAAATGATTGACATCACTGCGAATACTCGACAATGATAACGTAAAACAATTCTTATTGCGCTGATACAAAGTATGAACAATCTTATACGTAAAGTATGATATAAGTCTCTGTGAAGTTTAATTGATAACAATGTTAAAATATTTATATGTCATGCATACGATATTTTATGATTATTCAATAGTCGCGTTTATGTTGTAATTCGCGATTTTTCACTGTTCTCGCAACGCTTTACGAAAAAGCAAAGTGTATTTTTAAATATCTTTAAAAAAAAAGATCTGTGATTACAGCCCCTCTTGAATTAAGCGATCTTGAATTAATTAATTAACGTAAAGATCAAACAGTGATTCGCACGAATTCGCGGAACTCTTGAGAAGAATAATGAGAAGTACAATCACACAAGGTCACATATCTGACTACCGCTAGTTATAGAGATGCCTAGAAATGTCTGCGGAATTCTGATAAAAAATCTACTAGAAAATTTTTGATCTTTCTAAACGTCGCTTGGAAAAAGGTCTCTCTACTCGCCGAATCGATCGACGTGTCGACAATGGAAAAACCTTGGTCTTTCATCGTGGATCGCTCGCGCAAGCTCTAGCCGTACGAGACTCACAGTTCCTTGCACATACACACAGAGTAATGATTACACAACTAATACTCGTTATGCGATGATGAGAGATTATGTGATTACAATTTATTTATCGACCTTATCGTTATTGCAGGAATGAGACCAACGTCGGCGATGGTGCGACGGTACTTTCAGACACGCTGAGTGCATCTCGACGTTGTCGTGGATGAAGTGTGTGTCATCGGAGAGGGATCGGATCGACGAGGAGAAACATGAAGAGCGAGGCCGATACGTCGGTCTCGGATGTATCAAAGAGGTGAAAGAGACTTCACCTCTCACACAGACTCTCACAAGATCGGAATGTCGGGCAACGTCGATCGGATAGAAACGATTGATAAGGAAACAAGTGGGAACGCATGATGATTCTTTGCGAACGTGTGTCCCTCGCGTTGAGAGGCACTTTTACGTAGTTAGTGAGAATGTGCACTTCTTAGAAAAAACGCGGCTTCCTACGTATATCGTGATAGTCTTACAGTGCGGTGGTATGATGATACGTACGTACGAGAGCGAACGTCAGCTCGCGTCGCTCGAATATAAACGTCGATGTTTCGTATTAAAAAATTTGTGCGTCGTTTTACATTGTCGTGCGCTCGGACGCCGTAAGCGGAGATTCTCAGCATCGCTGTAAGCTTCCGCCGGTCGGACTTACGCTCTAGTATGCTAAACGGAAATCCTTGATTCACTCGCGGCCGATTGTTCTATCGATTATCAAAGTACAAATCATCGTACGGCGCGTGCATCGCTTCTAAACTCTACAAGCGCGAGTACAAAACTCTTCACGGCACGAGTAAGATTCAATCGCTCAGGGATGTCGGAGATTGCCGCGGCTTACGGTGCCGGTGATTCGTCACGATCGACTTTTAAAATGCATTCAACGCGAAGTTTCGATTGCATTCTCTCGGTGAAAGCGATATGCGGGAACACGCGCGCAAAATGTAACACCTCTGCGACCAACGAATTGCACAACAGTGGTCATTTAAATTAACATAAACTAAGACCGCGCATTAGTTATGTACACTTAAAGCTCCTAACCGATTTCATCTACCGAAATATTTTCTTCTCGACCGTAACGTAACGTAATATTAACGTTTGCGCTTCGTTGTAATGGAAATCAATCAAGTATGTATAGGCGGTGTGAGTCGAGATAATAAATAAATAAATAAATATCATGAGGAGATGTATGTGCGTGTGTACATACGTATCCTCGCGATCACGGTGTTCGGAATATGATCAACCTAATAACTTCGTTAATAAATTGTGCCGTTATTTCCATATTGCGATGGAAGGTTTTCAGCCTTTGCTCAACAATGAAAGATATTGTACGTCGCGGAAAATAAAAGTTCAAAGTATAATTCCGACAGCTTTGTTTTTTGATTACACAAGCGTACATATAATTATACGATACAGTGCAACTATTCCATATACATGTATCTGTGTAACGTATTTACGTCATAAATAAACATAACTTTGTCATCGATGGCTCAATGGAAGTGTTGCAACTTAAAGGCACAAAGTTCCTCACTTTCTTTGAGCCGCAACTCTTTTATAATGCGAGTTCTCGTTATCATCGACAATAAACAAGCAACGGTCCTATTAATAATAATAATAATAATGATAAAATTGTGACTAACATATCACAACACTGCTTTTACTCGCAGATTAAAATATCTTCACTTGACGTCATTGTAATTTTTTTCTCTCCCGAATTACAGGTGAATCGTAATATAACAATATAAAAAAAGGAAAAAGTTGAAATTTTTTCTTACTCGCAGTTAAAGTTCATGTAATAAATAACAAATGCTCTCAAGCTCTTGACCTTGGAACTTTCAGAGTTTTTTGTCGTTATGATAACCGATCATATATATATAGATAGATTGATTAAATGTACGATGTAGAAATACATCATAAGCGTAAAACATAGTTAACTCGTTAATAAAAATTGTATTGAATTGTATAATATTTCCGTCTTTACGTTTCTCGAATTCTATGCGAACATACGTATATTCTCGAATTCATATGATATATAACGCATAAATTATATACATATATATTTTTATATGTAATATCCTGCCACACGAGTGCAACAATAAATAAATACACATCTCTAACGGAAGCGATCTTCGAGAGCGATCTGTCAATGTAAATGTTGCTAACAACTCTGAGAACACCGAGTTCCTGAATGTCACGATCGAGGAAACGGACCAAGGTCAATGATTCAAGCGCACACCAGTGATATAAGATGCAGCGATGAAGCGACAGTGAAGCGAGAAAGTAGTACGATTATATGAATGTATGAACGTACAACCTACTGGCCAGGGGCTTCCGCATCCTCCTTCGATGGAACAGACCTTGATCGATGGGAATACAGTGTGAAAACAACTAAACTTAGCGTATGTATTATTTGGTGAGTAGCGAACCTGTAAGCGGGGGCCGTGGTCGAAATGAATGAAGCGTGCGGTGTGTGTATGTGGATGAGATGGTAGTGTGGTAGAGTGACGGTGGATTAGAGGAGTATGACGAGGTGTGGAAGAGGAATGAAATATATTCCATTGATCTCTCGCATTAAGTGGCCTCTTTATACGCAAAGCAAATCCTGACTCGCTCTTTGTCATTTCTTATTTTTGTAGTAAATTACCAAAAGCCTCCCGCACTGCGACCGCCCGGTGGGTTATTCACGCGAATGCAAGCCCTTCGTGCTTCCTCGACATCCTCTGTAAGAACAAACGTCCTTATATTCCCACTGAATGAAACACCAGAGGAACAAGGTGAGCCATATTTATTTCCCGTCGACATGTCAAGTTCTCTCATGATTTGTGATCCCTTTCTTTTGAGTGTTAGTTTGAACCATCACGAAACATCAAATGAATCTTGCAAAATCTAGACGGTGATGCGGTATGCTCTGATTGCCACGACAGTCGTGCATAGTCTCCTTGGAAACTGTGATCGATATTGTGATGGCACATGCGACACTGGCATTGTGATGGCATGTGCAGACGCAATAAGGACCGACAGCATTCAAAGAGATATAATTAAAAGAAATCGTACATTAAGATCGGTAGTAATTCATTCTACTCACCGCTGATGGAGAAAGTAGAATCTTGTAGATTGCGCTGCCCTTCCAGCCTCGGACCCTTCGTGGATGGTGTCACCACGGCGGATTCCGGCAAGGTCGGCACGCAAGAAATGGATGATAACTTCGGCTTTGGACTATCATGAGTACCGTTTGTCTGATTGGCCCGTGCCGTAGCCGCGGCGGCCATCCTCGCCTCTTCCTTGGCCTTCGCGATCGCGGCATCCTCCTCGGCGTGTCTCTTCGCCTCCGCTTCCGTTCGTGCGATTCCACGTGGTTTCTGCTCGCAGGTAATATGTTTAAAAGTACTAATATTTTATGACCTTTACACGGAGAAAATTACCCGAAAAATAATTTAAATATATGAAAAATGTATGAAAAATAATTTAAATATATGAAAAATAATTTAAATGTGAAAAATAAAAGAATTCATATTGTGAATCCAAATGATTCGTAATAAAGATTATTACGAATATATTTATTATTATTTTTCTTCGTATTCTGAAAATAATTTAAATATATGAAAAATAATTTAAATGTGAAAAATAAAAGAATTCATATTGTGAATCCAAGTGATTCGTAATAAAGATTATTTTTCTTCGTATTCTGAAGAGTACAGTTATGTCAACGATACTTTTTAGAAGTATAACGAATTGACGAGGAGTGAAGCAACTAATCATGATGTCTGTTTCAGACGCCGTACCTTCTCCTTCTCATTTATCATGTCGTATACGTAGGTACCAAACGGCTCCGTATTCACGTATCGTCCAAACCCATGAACGGCTTTGAGCTCGCATTCGTCCACGCATACGCGCCCATTGACGATCACGTACTCAGGTACACCAGTCACTTCCATGCCCTGTATCAACAATATGGTACATTTTGCGAGTAATCCAGTAATTAAGCAATGATGGGGGTGGAAATACGATACCCTTATTATTAAATTGCCCGCTATTTTGTTTCTGGACAACTACGAACGAAAATTCACTGCAAATCTCTACGAATTATACAGCAGTGTAACGATCTCATAACGAACGTTATAATGCAATATAACGTTATAATGCAATAGCCCGCGTTTTATCTTACACGAGATTACACGAGACGTCGAGAAAAAAATGCAAGCTGCCTAATCGGTGAACATTTATCGTTTGTAATGTATATATATATGTATATATATCTCGCAAGAGTTATCGCCGTCCAGTAGTGAAAGCGGACGACTCAATCAAACTCCTCACCTCGAAGACGTTGAAGTCAACAGCCTGCACGTGGGTCTCAGCGGAAATCGTGCGCTTCCTGTTGGGGTCCCAGACGACAATGTCGGCGTCCGAGCCGACGGCTATGACGCCCTTCCTAGGATACAGGTTGAAGATCCTGGCGGCGTTCGCGCTGGTGACCGCGACGAATCGCTGAGGATCCATTATGCCGGCATGCACGCCTTTCTCCCAGAGGACCGACATCCTGTCTTCGACGCCGTTCACGCCGTTGGGAATCTTCGTAAAGTCGTCTTTGCCCAGAGCCTTTTGGTCGGCGCTGAAGGTGCAGTTATCGCTGCCGATCACTTGAAGATTATCTCTGAAAAGTGGTCGCGTTAGTGCTGAGGATATGAAGATCGAAGCGAACAGCCAGAACGGAGAACGACTTCGACGGAGAAACGAAGCGTCAAGTAGTGACTTTGACATCTCGAGTAGGCTAAGGATAATTGCGCGCGAGTACGTTAAGTAATCGCAAGCGACGTGTTGTAATAAAAACGCACGAAAACGATTAAAGGCTAGGAAACGGCTATTGAATGCGGGTTCAACCGGTAGCTTTTTTCTTCTGCTCCGTTTAATTAACATTAACGCGCTGTGGTCGCGTCGGACACCGACTTCCCACGCCGTGACTATTAATAAGTCCGAACGAATTACACGCTCGTGTCACCCGCGTCAATTTATCGTTGTAACTTATCGCGAGCAAGACAAACTTTCACGGGAGACATACACAGTTATCAAATCGGTTTATAAATCGCAAAGGAAGAGCTGGGAGTCAGTGCGCGCGATAAAGTTGGCAGTAATGCAACTTTTAAAGGATGATATACGCGAATCGGACGTCTTTCATTTCGGATCGTTTGATCAACTCGTTGTAATCTCGTTGTATAAACTATGTGCGATCTACTTACTCAGCCAGACGCTCGGTTAAATACGCAGGTGTCGTTGGGTCGGGTCGTAACGGCGGATTAGTAATAAAACGCCTCGCTCTCTCCATGTCTTTGCCGTATTGCTCGCTACCGTCGATACCGACGGCACTCGCCAGGGTTTCCCCGAAAAGGACGGCACCCTCCGACCGCTTCATCGACACGACGTCGGCGGCAGACTTGCTCGTGATCGCCGTTATATATAGAGGGCTATTCATCTAAACGCGATATTTTTATCCTCACATACTGAAATAATCGCTGTACTCTCTTTCTCCCTCTCATTCTGTATACTATAAATGTAAAATTAAACGCAGTCACGGCTGAGAAAAAAGTTTATATAAAAAGTCGATTCCAAAAGTTTTGAGACCGATTATCAATTATGTGTATATATAATATATATAATATATATAATATATATATATATATATATTATTATTATTAATATATGTATGTATGTGTATATATATATGTGTATGTGTGTGTGTGTGTAAAATGCTTTTAATTATGCTTTTAATGATTATATATTATTTTTGCTTTTAATGCTTTTAATGCTTTTAATGATTATATATTATTTTTGATCGTACATCGCGACACCGTTAAAGATTATGAAACCTTGTTCCAACCGTGCTCGTCTCACAGCTAACAAGTAAACCTATCCAAAAGTTACACTCCGATTTCTTTCTAATTTGGCACAAATGTAAAAGTGCAAAAAATATTTAGGTCATATTTTTTTTATTTTAATCTATTTTGAGTTTCACAGGCAATTTATAGCTTTTTAAATGTTCTCACTATTATCAACAAGTGCAACAAAAATGCATAAGAAATAAAATTGGATACAAGATATAGGCGTTTTTGGTTTGCTGATTGAATATAAAGTCAAATGTGTAAAATTATTTGTATAAATAATAAAATGTTTAAACAAAATATGTAAAAAATTGAAAAAAATTACTTATACAATTTCTCGGTTTGGCCGAGATTCGAACCATTTTTTACTAACCTAGTTTAGATTTGAAAGATTTCGGTTGGAATCTTGGCTAAAGAAATTTAGAATGGTTCGTGTTTCAGCTGTGTCGATTTTGTTAAAATTTTAATTAAAATTGCCGGATTTCTGTTTGACCGAGATTCGAATCATTTTTGACTAATTTTACATAAATTTATAATAATATTTGGGTTGGAATCTCGGCTATAAAGAAATTTAGAATGGTTCATGTCTGAGCTATGCCGATTTTGTTAAAATTATTTAACTATATCTTGTATTCAATTTTATTATGCATTTTTATTGTACTTACTGATGATAGGAGTGAGAACATTAAAAAACTATAAACTGCCCGTGAAACTCAAAGTGAGCCAAAATGAAAAAAATGACCTAAATATTTTTTGTACTTCTACATTTATACCAAAGTAGAAAAAAATCAGAGTGTAGATTAGATAGATAGATTTACTTGTAAGTAACATTTTACGAGTATATCTACTTGAAGCGCTAATCAAAACGACGAAGATCGTGCGGGGAGAACGTGCTAATCACGTAACAGCAATATCTGGCAAAACTAAGAGAGCAAGGAGATAATAAAGACAAGCTAATGATAGTTGAGGGCATGCATTCGAGAGTAGGATTTCGACGGAACGGCTAAATATAAATTTCAGCGCGCGCAATTACGGATAACGGTAAATGCGCTTTATGCAGTTCGCACATACGTCACGCAAGCTACTTCTAGATAACGTGGAAACTTAAATTACCACCGCCGCAATTGTGCAACCTATTTCCGCTAATACAGCTATATAGAAAGTGAAGGGTGACTGAGGGGGCAGACGAAACGACATAGAATTCGGTACAATCGATATCTCGCTGCACGCGACGCGTTTGGAGAAACGTCATTCTTGATCGATGCAATGAGCACAGCTCAGCAATAAAATCATGAGAGTGTATCGAGAGACCTCCATCGCCTGAGACTTTTCAACTCTGTCTCGGCGGATCTAACATTTTGTCCGCCGATGTTATTTAAGAAAAGAACCGGTCGGTGCGTTACTCCTTTTAAGTGGAAAACCAGGCGCGCTGATACGTGTTTGTTGCATCGATTTCGAACGAAAGTGTCCTCCGACGACATTCTTGCCAGGCAAGACTCCACACTTGGCAAGGAGTAAATGTCTAACGTTCAGGAATGTTCGGACCCGCGTTTAAACAGCCGTAGCCAGCTATCGCGGTTCGTCTCAATACCTCAACACGCTATCTATAGTTTTGAGTTGTCGTAGAAGTAACATTCATAGAGTCATGACTCTACGAGTGTGTGTGTGTGTGTGTGTGTGTGTCGAAATTGTTCTCTCGTATGTCACGCGTTCTTTGAATAGTTCGTGCGATGACTCCCTTCCCTCTTTCTCTGTACAAATAGCTTCGCAAATTGATACGACTCCAGCCCACTCCGATGTCAAAGTCGCCCAGAATTATCTCGTTGGCAGCGACTCACTTGGCTAACATGTTCACGAGTACTCGCGGTGTGTCCGGGTCCGGTCTGAGTGGTGGACTTATAATGTAGCCGGCGGCGTGTCTCCAGCACTTGTGCGAGTAGTGGGTGCCATCCGTGCCGATCGCGGCCGCCAAGGTCTCGCCGAAGACGCAAACGCCGCGTTTACGCGCAGCCACCACCTCCTCGGCGGCGCTACGGCTCATCACATGCACTATGTACAGCGGGCAATTGACCTAAGCATGCGGAATTTCGAGCTGATACAGCGACGGATATGCAACAATGACGTCTAAGTTATAAGGGCGCTAATCCAAAGGTAACACTTCGAATGAGGATTTGTTGAAGCGATCACAAAGTTCGGCTCGATCCTCGGTGAATAGTATATTATATGAATACAAACGACAATGTTAATAGTTTCTAGTGTTTTCTGTGTTTATTGTACAAAGTATCCGACAATTCATGACACAATTGACGAATTGAACACAAAATTCCTCTGCCATTTCGCAAACAACCACATGCAATCAATCTGACCGGAAAAATCGAACCGAACTTCCTGACTGACCCAATAATTCGAGGAAGAAGAAGGCGGAAGTAGAAGGCGGAATTTCGAAGAGAAAAAATCTGGCACGTTGATAGAAGTATCGTTACGAGGCGTTATCGCATTTGCTTGCTCCGCGACACAGATAACTCTCGATCCGGATAGGACTGTAAATGAGGAGATTTTCGGACGTACCTTGGGCACATGCCACGAAAAGCAGCGCGCGCTTGGCGTTGCCCCGAATTCTAATCTACGCGAAAGATTTACGATCATTCGTGAGCTGAATACCGTCACGAAGTAGCGTGCCAAGTGCACCCGTACAACAGAGAACTTTGAAAACGAATAGATGTAAAGGGCTCGAGCATGTGTCGGGCAGGCGGATGAGCTAACGTACACACGTATACGTGGAAATACAAAGATGAACGAAGCCAGTGCACGAAACCGCCTGTGAAATGTATAATTTTCCAACAACGCCAAGCGGTACCAAGCGTCTCGCTCACCTGATTCGCTATGACGCACGCTCTATTCACAGCCTCCGCCTCGACTTCTTCGGGCCGTGACATCTCGTGGCCTTCCGGGCCGGTTACACCCGCTTCCAGTAGTTTCCTCGCATTCTGGAACAAGTTTACGGTGACAGGAAAGAAAAAGAGACAACGAGCGAGAGTTCGCATCTCGCGTTTTCTATCAGAATCGCGTTTCAAGTGACGCGCACGTCTTTCGACGTCCGGGAAAGAAAGTCTCCGCCCAAGTGCACCGATTTGCTCCCGCTTATGAATTTTGTAATTATCAGCTACGATAATTACTAGCTACGATAATTAGCTGTAATCACAGATACCGCGCGAACAATGCTTGAAACAATGACTTCCTATGGCAACGGAATCGTGCCGGAGAGTACTCTGTAGCGGTTACAGAGCGACCACTGAATTCCCCTTTTATTCACAGCTAATCGAGCCATGATTGCTTATCGATCCGACAAGATCAGGCGATCTCGTCAAGAACGGGACCTCACGTTTGAAGAGGTTGAACTCGCAACGAGGAATCTGTAATTGAGCGAACGTGCTCGCGTCGGCAATGTTATCAGTGTAGCGTCGCTCGCCCCGGCGTAATACCTCCGCGATGATGTCGCCGTTCTCAGCGTGCACCATAGCGACGGCGCCTAGCTCTTTGCAGGCCTTGAAGGCCTCGATCAGCTCCGGATCTCTGATCATAAGCATGTCGCGGTACGCCATGAACATCTTGAAGCTACCGACGCCGCAGCTCTTCGTCAACGTCGTCATGTCCTCCTTCACCTGCAACAGACGGTCAGGTAACGATGAATAATGAATCCGGTGGACGGCTTCCTCCGGAGAGACACGCGAAACCATGCGGCACGGCAAATAAGGAATCGCCGTGTCGCCGTCGCGTTGCCTTCGGGCACATGCGGTTTCCTCATCCGTCGTGTCGCTTGGTATTCTACCTGCGCGCGGCAGTTTTACGAGCCGGCCACGAGCGGGATCCGCCAATTTGCGGAGCAAGAGCGAGTGCGTCGCCGGCTCACCTGCGTTTGACGTTGCGACATTGGGCCCCGTCGTCGCTCCTCGAATATCGCCGCTCGACGGAACCGGCTTTGTAAAAAATCCTGTCGGACGCAGCGAGCGAACGTCGCTAATAGAAGCTAAGTCGGTTAACTCGGCTCTAACGAGCCGAGCTGAAACGAATGTATTCTCTTTTCCGCGGGTAAGACTCCGAGAGATCTCCCGGAAAGGAAACGCATCGTTCGATCGGCTTTGGATATCAAGGACCGCTAATGGAGCACATCCGATGAGAAGTCGGGCTTGTTTTCTATCGCGGATAATGGCCGGAAGCTGCAAAAGCTGGAATTAGATTAATTTTGCGTGCCCCGCGTGCATTCGCGTTCGCAATTGCGCCGGTGAATTACGTAAATTGTCGTAATGCCAATTGACGCCTGGTGAACGCAACCACGAGGCGTCCCGATGGCGGACGAACGTCGCGGGAGTGTCGCGCGTCGTAACGCACGTGCGTGCGTGTTAGGCGCGATCGACGGCACGCAAGAAAGGGGTCAGGTCTAATAGGTACTACCGCACGAGCTTTCTTTCCTAGGAATGTCTCGTGTTACCGCAATTATCTCGTATAGAGCGAATACGGCACAGCGTCCGGCGTAGAAAGCGGCCGGCTTGTCGCCGAAGGAGGCGCGGAAAGTCGCGGCGAACTTGTCGGACGATCGCACGCGTTAAGGCTCCTTGTCTCACCGCTGCAGAGTCCCGAATCGATGACGTCAACAGCGAAATGGCACGCGAAAGTGTGTTCTCTCGTTTCTGACGTCGTCGACTCCGCGACAATGGAACCAGGAGCCTAAAGGGACGTCTACATTGGAAGTAAGCGGTAAGAAGTAGGAAGTAAGAATAAGAAATTGATCAATCAAGTCCCGGCCTAACCGCCGTCACGACAAGACGTGTTCGAACAAGTTCGGACCTTGTGATTTTTTTGGATCGTGTCTTGAAAATTTCCAAGACTTTGCTCTCGAATTATATCATTAATCGGAAACTGGCGTTGGGGCATTACTCTTAGAGAGGCCTGTAGCCAAATATTGAAGGAAGGAAGAAAGGAAGGAAGGAAATTGATCAATCATAGTTGATTATTCTTCTCACATTCGACTGTGGTTGGTCAATTTCTTACTCTTACTTCCTCTACTTCTTGCTATTTACTTCCAATGTAGACGTCCCTTTAACGTATGATCGATTTACCTTCGGACTCCATGACGTGACGGCGACGTGCAACGCGTAGTCGCAGCAGACCTTCTGATCAGCGTTCTCCCGATACCTCTCGTACGCTTCCACGAGGCTTTCTTCCTTCCTCGGCACCACGAAGTCGACTATCATCGTGGTGCCACCGGCGACCGCGGCCTTCGTGCCTTGATAAAAGTCATCCACGGACTTGGTACCCATAAACTCGAACTCGAAGTGGGTGTGCGGGTCTATGCCGCCGGGCATCACATACTTCCCGCGCGCGTCGATGGTCCTAGTGCCACCCGGTATGATGAGATTGCGTCCCATCTGCCTGCAAACAGGAAAAGGGAGATCTTTTTGCAAAATCCCGTCATTTCCAAATCCCGCTTCAGACCGGAACGGCGCGAGCAGTCTGCCATGGTGGTCACGCCGACGACACATCGCTCGATGTGTCACGCACTCGAGACACTTTGCTGGTCACGTCGGTTGTCGACAGCGCTCGCCTGCCCGGCTGCCATCGCCGTCGCCACCCGGTTACGATCAGTCACGCTCGTTTGATAAATCACTGGCGCGGCCGTAGACGCGCTATCTATTCTGATTCATTCAGCGCCGAGTGATAAAACCGCCAGCACGTAGCGCATATCGCGCATCGTTTGTGCAAAGTGGTGGGCACGTGAGCTGTCGCGCAATCCATCAGACGCTTTGTACACTCTGAAGCGTTGCTTCCCCTTAATACAGGAATTAATGTCATCATTATGTTACTAGAACGCTTCCCGGCCCATTCGATGGATTCCACTAACGACCAACGTCGCACCAACGAGTCGAGAGAACCTGAGCCGTCTTCACTAGAGGAAGAATTCGCGCATGCAGATCGCGAGAACACGTTCGTCGTGAAGACTTGGGTCTCACGACCACGCTTCAGCATACCTGATGATGCCATCCTCGATGTAGACGTCGCTGTCGATGATTCCATCGTCGTTGACGACCTTGCCGTTCTTGATTAGCAGTCTGTTCTGCGCACTCTGAAACAGAACACAACGTTGGCGTTGATTTACAAATATCGACACAGATCTAAGGGGAATACGAGCGACGGATTAATTATTGTGCGATTCGACGATCAAGCGGGGTCCTTCTCATCGTTGACGCGCGACTCGCCCTGTCCTTGGTGTTACACCGTACGCGACGCGAGTGGAGGCCGACATCCGGCGTACGCAATTAATGTGCGCGCATCGCCGTGCGTACTACGGTATATCAATCAGCGCCGTATGAGCGCGACGGTTCACGTACTTCCGCCAATATTGGATTTAGAGCATATACGCGATGTGCGTGATCCGATAAGCCGGCTGTATTTCACGGCCAAATAAGGAAGAGCTCTGATATAGTTCTTTCTCGTTCGCAGCGAGCTGATACGCGCAAGGTATTAATTCAGACATGCATAATCGCGAAGGAAAAATATTGAAAATATTTCAAAACTGCGCTCTGAAAAGTGAGTACAGAAACAATCCCCCCGAAATACTGAAAGCACGAAGTTGTCAACAGCTTGTCATGCAACTTTGTGGGACAACTTCATGCTTTCAATATTTCAGAAGATTGTATCTATGTATCCAGTTTTTGGAATTGCGACTTTTCGGGACGTTATTCCATTTCTCAAATTTCGGGCGCTTGATTTTTCGAGATTACGCATGTTCATAATGAAATCGAATTCGGCCTCGCTCTTAGCAAACGTTGATTGAAACGCTATTAAAGCGACTGACAAACACTTTTCAGATGAGATCTCTGGGTGAGATTTTCTTCCTTAACGATAATGCATCGCGAAAGAGTTCGCAATCGTCGAATCACTCGCCTCAGAAATTTCAGACATGACTTGCATGAAATTCCTCATAGCGGAAATCGATATCGTTAGGGAGGAACGGCGCGGGAGGAGGGCTTCGTCTCGCGGATCGAAAATTCGGACATGGAGGGTCCGTTCGGCGCGAGAGTGGCCGTAAATAAGTCGACACGCGTTTCAATTTAATCGACATCCGGTGCGCGACCAGCGCGTACGAGCGACGTGGGTGAAAAAAGAAAAAGAGAGAGAGAGAGAAGAGAAAAGCGTAACGCGACGCAATTTTCAGCCATATCCTCCTCGTTTCATCACCGACCCAACGCGCACGTGCAGCACCGCGTGTATGTGATCTTTATCTCGCTGGAGGAACAAATTGCGCGGGGCAGAGCCGACGTTGCGTATACAACGCCGGAGCGTGGGCTGCGGAGCTTGTTACCGGTGCCCGCTACCTGCGCCACAAAGGTTGCATCCCTTCAAAGGACTCTCGACACTCGCGTCGCCCCCTCCTGCGAGCGTGAAAAGCCGGCCAACCCTCCCGGAAGAGCGGGAACAAGGGCCGAAGGGAATGATCCCTGCTGTGTTTTATGAAACACACCGACGAGTTGGAGCCTCTTCACGTCTCGTGGGGCCAACCACGCCGTCGTCGCAACCACGACGAGACTTTCCGACCGAGCTCCACCCCATGAAACCTCGTCAATCCACGCATGACTCTGAGCCACCCTTTATCCTGAGGCCTCGCCGTCACCGATCCTAATCGGCTTTTTGTTGTTTGGCGCCGGGAGTCGATTCGATAACCGTGGAGAAATGAAATTCCACAATTTTTTTAGAACTTTTCCAAGATATCTTCGAACTAAAATATTAACGCGTCAACAATCATATTTTTTAGAGCGTACAGTATAACTCTGAGTCTGTTAAACCCGGACAACTTTGAATTACCATACAACTTCCTTGAAAATCGATATTTTTGCACACATTTTTTTCTCAAAGATATTGAGCCTGAAGCCTCAGCTATTAGATGGCAGTGCAATAAAATCAAAACTTGCAAACAGACTCGCGTTATTGTGATATTTTCTCGAATTCTTTATGAAAGTTATTGAGCGATCAAATATTCGTTCGGGTCTCACAGACCCGTTTGTGACAACATTGCACGCGAAGGGTCAATCTACAAGAAATAATATGAAAGTTTACATCTTGTTTTATGATATTGCAGAATCTCTTTTAACTAGCACGGTATAATTACAACTGAAGATGCGTTAAACAGGGACCGACGTAACGGCGAAAGCATTTGGATCGAGGCGACGATGCGCGCTTTCTCACAAAGGCGGACGTGGAAGGCGAGATAGCGTGGGTACAAAGTAGAGGACTTTACTGCGAGAAGTAACGGCCGGTCGACCTTCGATTTTTCCGTGTCGGGACCGAGGGATGTCACCGAAAGCCAGCAAGATCTAATCTACGTGGGCGGAGACCTTGTCATCCTCGGCGCGTAGTTATTAGCAACCGACGCCGAGAACATGTGTGTTTCATGTGTTAGAGATCGGCGTTCACGCGGATATTTTCAGCTGAGCACTGTCTTAAAATAAGCAACGTGTGAGTCGTGTATATGTGTGCGCGCGCACGTGCACGCGCAAGCGGCACTCTCAGATTTTTTTAAGTGAAATCTTCGCGAGAGAGTGCTTCAGAATCAACCGAATCCCATTAAGTCCCGTCAGCGATCCCGTCGAGGAACGTTATTTAAATATAAATCGACCTCGTATGCAAAGCAATATTATGGCTGACACTCGAACTTGTAACGTGTGTGCTGACATATCTCATCGCGATATCTCTGATGTTTCAAAATAGAGTCAAAAGTCACTTCATAGAAATTTGTCACATGAATTTAACGCAGGCAATATATTCAAATTGCTTGACTCTCTGTCCGATCAATCAAAAGGTCGCATTTGTATACGGAGAGGATTTTATAGCAAAAATTATTGCAGAGTTTTGCAACCGAGCGGCATATCGACATTTCGCAGTAATTTACTATTCTCTCATTTCATACGCGCTAGAAAGTTGTCTATGTTTGCTATATTCCTTAGCAAAATAGACCTTATTAAAATTGAAGAAAATTTATATTAAAAGAAAAAGATTCTCTCCGCGGATATATAATTATACACACAACACATTGATAATATTTCGCTGTGTATGTCACGAAAATCGACTTATCACTTGAAAAAATCAAGCGAAGAAAGGCTAATGAACGGATATGGTGCAAAATATTACCAATCTCCGCGATGGTTCTTATTAGCCTTTCTCTATTTCACTTGATTTTTCAAGTGATAAAAGTCGTATTCTTTACGCAATTAGCTTTTCTCTATTTCACTAGATTGAACATCCGCGAGCCTAACAAAGTATGCTTTGTACTTAGAAAAATATTTATTTCCAAGCTCTCGCCGTAATGGGCTGTGACGAGGCTAATAAGGCGTAGAATGCGGGCTGCGTCGGGCCAGACGTGCGGCTGGCGTACGCTCCTGGTTTAAAATCAATAGCCCCGGACGCTTCCTGTCTCTATACGCCATGCGAATTCGCCGGCACGGAGCCCAACGACCGGGCCTCAAACGAAAATCGTTTCACGTGAGCAGGCGGCGATATCAGATCGCGCGATTCGGCGTGTCGGAACGTGCCACTCAGCGAAGGTCTTCCGGCGCGTCTGTGAGAATCAGGACGCCGCGTAACTCCGCGCGGTGTTACTTTCGGTGCAAGGCGCGGAAGGACGATGCGGATAGATCTTCCAACGAAGCGTCGTTGGAAGCGGAATCTCGTCGTTGCAATATTTATGGGGAAACATCGTGGAAGAGTCTCCTCATTGAAGAGTTAGCGGGACCGTTGCGCGTCGACAGAGTTTTTTCAGGAAATCGCGATTCCCCGGCTGCGTTTCGCGTCACCGCGATCAATTAAAATTAACCGCGCATTTCTCTTTTTTTTCAGAAACGCTCGCCGAGTCGGTGCTCACGTCGTAAGAGATCATAATTGTGGGCTCTCCCGACACGGAAGAAGGAAAATACCGGCTCTTCACCGGCGTTCGTGGCTGTCTAAGGACCGCTGCAACTCCGCGGACTCGTCGTACGCGGTGCGTAAGGACGGTGACTTGAGAGCTGCATAAACCGGCGATGCAACTTGGCAAACATTGGCGCGAGTTTACTCTGCGCGGCGCACGAGACGCACGATCAAACAACTCTCGAGGCATTGCGTAACTTACAGCGGCCTGACGCATCCGCGTAAGTGTCGTACCGTGTCTTCATGGGAGAAAGAGAGAGAGAGAGATAAGCAGAGACGTGATCGCATTGAAGCGCTTTCCTTGTTGGTACTTCGTTCTCATCCACTCAAAAAAATGGATCTTGATGTCACGGCAAGAATTATCTAGATAGAAGAAATTAGCTAAATGGACAAATGACTAGCAACAAGCATTGCGATGTCGCATACATTTTGTATCTGATCGATGCAGGTGACAGAGACTAGATTTAAATTTGAGCTATTTGTAAAACTTAGTAAGAGAATTTGTCCGTAAAGTGAATTCTACGTACCATAGACAATTTTCTAACAGATACAAATAGCTCAAATTTAAATCTAGTCTCTGTCACCTGCATCGATCAGATACAAAATGTATGCGACATCGCAATGCTTGTTGCTAGTCATTTGTCCATTTAGCTAATTTCTTCTATCTAGATAATTCTTCTAAAGCAGTGAGAAATTTTAACTATGATATCTCGAATTCTGTGAAACATCTTTTGAGTGTCAGACCTCGTTGAGTATAACTCAACGTGCGTGTGTCGTAATAATTAAATACTGCAATTAATAACAGTGACACTTCGTATTTTTATTTTTAGCACAAAAATAAAAAAAACTAGTATAATAAGTGGCTAATAAGTGACTTTTTTTTGCGAGACGAAACTTGCAGAGCGAACTGACTTGAAAAATATCTCGCAAGCAGCGTTCTGTTTCTTGGGGGGATGCGTAAATCGCGACGCGTAATGCAAATAAACACTCGTGTGCAAGCTAATCGGCGCGTAAAGAGAATTGACGGTTACGTAAGGTATATCAATCACGCAGAGTATCGCGCGCGATCCGGTGTCCATCGAGTAATTACGTATCTCGCTGCTTAACGATACACTCGAGTGCGTCTGCGATAATAACTCGTGAACGTGATAGTTGTAAGGTGTC